ACAACCTGCTCGGTTAAACCATACAACGAGTGCACGTCATAATGAGAGTACTCTTCATTATCACCCTGGGTGGTTTTCATACATACACTGTCTGCGGACAGTTGCCTATTTGAACCTCCCCATATTGCGGCTAAATAAAAAAGTTACCAATTATACTGGATCATAAATGCGGGCGTATGTAAACTATACACACATGATCGAATTGGTGGGAAATCGTATTTATTATTTGGGCAAGTCCAATCAAAATTCGAAGGGTCGTTCATATCCTACGGCGAAAAAAAGTAAATAAAATAGATGTAAAATAATTTGGACAGGTAACATTCTCACAATCCAGAGCGCTTCAAATGGTAAAACACCATGAAAATTCTTCACTTGATTAGTCCACCAAACATTTGTGCTATTTTTAAGAAAGTCGGGAAAACCGGCGGGTCCTGACGGCCACATACGGCCATAATAAGTGTCCTTATCGGTGGGCACTCCGGGCGGGTTGTGTCGGTCCTTCACCGCCACATCTTTGGCCCATTTGATAAACACGTCTTGTTTGTAGCCCTCGTTGAACGACGTGTAGTTTGGGTTATTGGCCTCAATGATCGGGTCCAGGATTACAGTCCAATGGATGTTGTTTTTGGTGGTCATGTCGTGGAACAGCTCCGGGAGGCCGGCGAACGCTTTCTTGTCGTAAGTAAAGTCCTCGAACCTATCCATGTAATCGATGTCGCAATACATCACGTCCTGTGTAGCGAATAATTAGAAAAATTTAAATCATGGTAAAACCTAATAGTCGGGCGTTCACCTGTTAAACCTTAATATAAATGCATAATTAAGGTTTACAGTGCAAATACTAACCAAGGGTACTTTCTCTTTAATATTCCTGTCGAGTACATCGCGCATACTTTGTGTGGTTTTGAACCCGTATCGGCACAGTTGATACCCCAGACCCCAGAAGGGAGGCATTGTTGTCCTACCGACCACTGATGTGTACAATTGTATCACGTGCTCCGGGTTATCGCCAATAAATACAAAAAAGTCCAAAACACCCCCGAGGCTTTTTAACGACAGGGCCGGCTCTGGTAATAGTGTGTACTCTGTGTATAAAATAAGTATTCAGTAACTATTAGTGCTAGCCAATAAATTATATAGTGCAAACATTAGAAACATCAAGTTAACACTAACCCATAGAGTTACTGTTAAGAAACAATATGCCATGGGCTTTGCCATCTGACTCCAGTACAGTATAAAACGGGTGAACGCCGTATTCATTATGATTATTCTATTTAAATGTGGGTAATGGTTAGTGGGTTGAGACAACAAGGTACAAATTTTTTAATAATTGTTTTTCAAATAAACATTAAACATTAATTTTGTTTACTAATTCTGAAATAAAGATAATAATGGTATAAATAACATTCTAGTTGTTAACTAACTTCGGCGAGCGGTGGACCCCGAGTAAACATCGGCCAAGTCTTGTAACTCAAGTCGTGTCGTAGGCTTTGATGCACATTCTCGCCGAAGCCGTAGACGTTATTTGTGGCTAAATTAGTGGCCAATTGTAGGAATTGATCGGCAAATACTAGACCTCCAATCGATGTGTCAAAACTGTTAGAGTCAGGGAAAGAGAGAGAGAGAGAGAGAGAGAGAGAGAGAGA